CGCTCTTCAATTTGCCACGGAGGTGCTGCTCCTTCTCTACCAAGAATCCCTGTTCACAGTGCGCAGTGTGCATGAATTACTGTGGGGCTACAAAGACAGGCTTCTGTCGACCATTCATCTCTTGCATCCTGAGATTGATCCAGAATTTGGCTTCTTTAATAAGGTAACTGGTATACGAGATTTTCAGAGGCTTATATAAGAAGTGGTGTCGTTGCTACCAAGCTGGGATTCTTATTACTGATGAGTTGAGGCCAGGAGATGAGCTGCAGGGATAGCAAGAGGATGGCCCCGCTTCAGTTTGCCTCTATCTGGGTAGTAGGTTGAAGCAGAGCTTTGAGTGTTTTATTTCTCTTTTCATTCTCAGGTAAGCAAAAGCTTTCCTCTACTGATGTAAACCCTCTCACTTTGCCCGTGGTTGCCTGAGTAACACGCTCTGTGGGGCCGGTTATGCAAACTACTAGAAAGTTTTCCTGTCCAGTTTCTTTTGTGGTAGTGGATTGAATTTGCATGTTGTTTCTGTGCTGTAGCCATTCCTGGCTTCCACAGTATTTCTTGTTGCAAGCCCGTCTGGACTATGAGGACCAAACTTTTCTTGAAAAGAACCTAAGCACCACATATGTTCTCCAAGAAGTTTGCGATTTTTGTCAAGGGATGTTTGTTTTAGTGAAAAATTCCAAAGGAGAAATATTACACTTCCTTCCCTTGGTTTGAGAGGTATGAAGATCTAGTTTAGTCACTTCCACCTCATTATATTCAGGCAGACTTGAACAAATTGCACTGACTTCAGGGAAAGTCGATCACTCCCAAGGCAGATTTGAAGAGCAATGAGAGGAGAGCTTAGATGGCTGGCACCCCGTTGTAGTTACCAGCCAGGTGTTGCAGAATGAGTAGAGTGATTAAAAACTCATGTTTCTCTTCTAGATGAATGGAACTGATGATGGAGAATATGTTTTCCTAAGTGGGGAAAGGAACTACCTTAACTTTTCAAGGATTGTGGAATGGAAAGGAGAAGAGTAAGTTTTTCCTCAGTGTGATCAGGCCTCTGTCAAAATCTGCCCCTCTTCACATTTCTGATGGACTTAAGCATTCCTTACAAAATGCTTCTTTTATTCCAAAGGTGGTGGTGGTTCTTAGCAGCTTTATTTTCATATAATGCCCCCACTGTGTTTTGTAACATATACACATGAAAAGAAGAGTGACATGTATAAGAGGAGCTGTTGTGGAGATATTCTTACTTCCCTATGGCTCTGTTCAAAGAAAAGATAAATGCAATTGATGCCGTTTTTAACTCCCCCTTTTTTTTTTGCTAGCAGACCCAAGACAGTAGGATTTAGGACCTACAGGTCTGATTCTCATTTGCTCGTGTGTCTGACTAGCATTTAAAGATCTTTTAACCCTTTCTCTCGCTGCTTCATTTACGTCAGGTCATTGAATTGGTGGACAACAAAGACGTGTAACATGATCAACGGAACAGATGGGACATCCTTCCACCCATTGATTAGCAAAGATGAAGACATTTATATCTTTTCTTCTGATTTTTGCAGGTAAGAAGAAGAGTATTTTTCTCAAGCTTTATGACAGAGCATTTAAATTTATTCCTATTGAGATTTCATGCTTTTCCTCCCATTATTTTATTTAATAGCATCTACGTTTTGCATACATTCATGCAAAGGGCAATATTTAAAACAAACAAACAAAAATGTAAAAAAAAAAAAACCCAACATGCATCAAATTAAGGATGAGCTGTGTCTAAATAAAAGTCAAGTGAAATTTTGAGAGAAGACTGGAAAGCCAGGCTGGACTGCCTTATCAGACATCTAATGAGGGGAATAGAAGCATTTATAGAAACGTTGCCTGAAGCTTCTTTCCCTCAAAAACCTTCCTCTGTGCCCTGCTTTTCTAGAGAACCTAGACTGCCCTATTTGGTTTACTGACTTGAGACAGTGCTGTTCAGAATGCAGCAAGATGTACAAGAGCTTTGTGTTTCCTTCCTTATATTTCACTTGCTGACCTCCTTCCTTCCAGGTTTCCATGTCTGTAAAGAACAAACCAGTCTGAAGTTCCTTATTTAAATTGACACACGTGTGTTAAACTAAATCTGGAACTTAGGAATTTGTTCTTCTTTTCCTTTTTTCCCTTGCTCAGCTGTGTTCTTTCACTTGTCCCTCACAGTAGCATGTAGCAGCACTGCTTAACAGGACACACAGTAATAAGATGGGTGCCAGAGTGAGCCTCAAATGCTGGTCAGGCATGGTTAGCGCAAGACTTTCCATTTTGTGCAGCAGCAGAATGACAAGATGTGCATGTGTCAATCAAAAGCCTATTGAATTTAATATAGAACACAATTTGAAGGAGCTTTAGGCCATTTAAGGGAGCTTTAGGCCAAGTAGTTTACTGTAAATTTGCAGGCATCTCAAGAAGAAATCTGCAGCAGATGACGGTGTTGCTCAACAAATCTGGATCTGTTTTTCCTTCCCTGCAGATCTTTCTATCTGGTGTATGATAGCTCAGGAAGCGTTGCAGGGATCCCAACCTACCGCTTTGTGCCCTCTCCCAAGGTGTTTGCCAACACTACCGTGAACCCGGACAACGCTGGATTCTGCGTGCCGCCAGGAAACTGTCCTGGCACCGGCGTCCTCAATGTCAGCATCTGCAAACAAGGTATGTTGCCAAGCGGGTGAAGCAGACTGTGAGGACAGCAACGTATTTCTCTTCTTGTCTGAAATAACATGAAGACAATTTGACAGAATATACCTGTCAAGTTGTGACTGTGCTCAGTGAAGTCAGTCACCAAGAACTGGACTGTTGGTTTGTTGGCTGTAAAATTATAGTAGTGAGGAAACGTGGTCCAAAGGGTTTGTGTGAGCTGCCATCTGTTTGGCAGTGGTGTAGCTAAAGGAAGCAGAGGAAATGCAAGTACCAGGATCCATACTGAACAGCTTGGGTAGTTACACTCCATTCCTACCCAGGTGGCTTTTGCAGCTGAGTAGCTGAATGAAAACAAGGCGAAAGACCCCATGCCAGCCTGAGACACGAAGCCGTGTGACTACTGCAGGAGAGTATATCTGGCTTCCTCTGAAGACAGCAGATCTGAGCGTCAGTTCTGTAGCTCCAGAAGAGACCTTCTCTTTTACAATAGGGCAGATTTTTGGGGTCGTCTAAGAGCAACTTGAATTTGAGTAACCTCTTGGAGTCCTGCTTTGCCTTCGTAAAATGGTGACTTTCTCTCTTTTCAGGTGCTCCAATATTTCTATCAGCTCCACATTTTTATCAAGCAGATGAAAAATTTGTTGAGGACATAGAGGGCATGCACCCAAGAAAGGAATATCATGAGACATTTGTGGACATCAATCCTGTAAGTAGGACCTTATTATTATTTATTATTATTGATACAGGTAAGTCCAAAAACAGAGGTGTAGGTCTCCTCTTTGAATGATATCAACATAGCCCCATGACTTCAGGGATGCTCTGCTAGTTTCTATTGAATTGATCTGTTGGTGTTTCCTTGTGTAGAGCAAGTTCTGATGGATAACAAGAATTAAAATGCTTGTTTGCTTTGGCTGTGCAACTAAATATGCCATCAGATGGGGTCCAATGAAGAGATGCAGGAGTTAAAATATTGCCCAGCAGCAGATAAAGCTTTTTTTTTTTTTTTTTTTTTTCATACATCTTTCTACCTCATTACTGCATTTGACTTGCCTTGCTGTGACCTCAGGGGCACTCGGTCACTTCCAAGCTAGTGTCACTCCCCAAGCTGAAGCAGCTAGCTGTGGCCTAAGAGAGCAAAGCAATAAAGATGCAAGGGACGTTGGACTCAATTTAGATAGCATGGAGTCACATAAGTAGAGGTACAGAAATGTGGTGTCTGTGTCAATTAGGGGAGTGCGCAGAGTTCTTGGTAATCTCACTGTGGGATGACAGAAATAAATGGAGCCAGCGGCTCCAGTTCGTTGTTTGTGCCATACTGGAAAAGAAGAAAACCTGCCATGTTGCTCAGAGCTAACTCTAATGAAAGCAACACAAGAATCTTAATGTTGTGCTTAGTTTGAGGGTAAAATGGGAGTCCTTATAAGCTGGCCCTTAGTCAGTCCTGTTCCTTTGCGTTGCTAGCTTTTAAGTCATGAAGGTAGCAGCTTGGTAAACAACAGGTCTTGCCCCTGCTTTTCTGGTTTGTTACCAGTCTGAGAACAGTATGTGAATTCTGTTCATGTGCCCTGTCCAGCCTCACAGCCTTAGCAGCACCCTGCTCGGCAGCTACCCAGGGGCCCATTCCCTGGGAAAGCAGAACTGCTTCTGGCAGTGCCTTGGAGAAGTCGGAGTTGATGAGCAGACCAAGTAGAGCATTTTATTACCTAGTGGACTGGGGTTTTACACTGTTCCCTAAACGCCCACATCTGGCTGCAGGCTGAGGCAAAGAGCAAAATCATGACCTACTTAGTTGACAGAAACAGAGTACTGTGACTCACGGAGCTGTTATGTGCAGCAAAAGCAGCAGGAGGAAATCGCTTAGTTCCTCTCTCTTGGCTCCTGTGCATGTGCTGTTTGGGATGTCAAAGCCCTTTCTGTTGCATAGCTTCTGTGGGTGTTCACTCTCGTTCCCTGTGGTCAGTAGTGACAGGCCATAGTCAGCTATCTGTTTTTTTCCCTTTTTTAAAATAAAAGTTTGTCTTATGGTAGAGGCATGAGAGCTCATGAAAGCAGCTCCTGCCTTATCCTCAGGAATTTGTACCTACTAGTTAACCTCTCGACAAGAGAGATCAGGCGCTTTAAACCCAAGCTCAAATGGTCACAGAAATGCCTAAAATGCCCCGCAGAGATTCTGCAGCAGTACTGAAGGAGCAGAACAAGCAGCTGGATGTGCTTGCCTATTCCAGAACTCCGGCTGGATCGGAAGGAAGGAGGATTCCTCTGTAGCCTGACTGCGAGTTTGCACAGCACAGGCAGCACGATGGCCCCTTCTCTCCCTTGTAGCCTCTTGATATCGCTTTAGCTTAAGTGGCAGCCTGGAGTCTAGATACATGAGTTTCAAGAGTATATTGGTGAAGGGATACAAATTATACCGTCAAGTGGGTCTTTTCTTCTTTCAAACACTGATCTGCCACAGGTCCAGCTCAACCAGTACACATACTGTGTCACTGGCCTCCAAGCAGGTCCACACTGGTGTAAATATTAGGTTGGCATACCTGTAAATTCTTTTTATTTTATGTTTCTTCTTTTTAACTTGCTCTTCCTTTGTTCCCCAGCTGACAGGGCTGGTCCTGCGAGCAGCCAAGAGGATGCAGATCAATGTTCACGTCAGAAAATTACATGAATTTGTGTAAGTGTTCTCTGCTGCTGGGTGCATATCTCAAATCTGTTTAAAAGAGAGTTGTTGCAACTTATCAGTGTTCACATGGAAACCAAACGAGCAGGTATGACCCCAGACAGAGTCTGGCATAAGCAGCTTCTGAGCTGTTATTTATTGGCACAGCTTTGCTGTTTATTCTAACTTATAAATAAAACAACTCCCCAGAATCTTATTTTATCTGCCTGGTCCTCTTGAGTTGGTTGGTGACAGCTCTTTGTAATGCTACCATGTTATTTTTTCATGTCCAGGAGCTCTTAGATTAACACAGTTTATCAGTGAGCTGTAATTTCATTGCACCAAACTTTTATTTTTTTCACTTTTAGCTGCCCTCTGCCTGTCATACAGACAATAGTCGCAGTGTTAAACAAACATGAGGAACGTTCACCTTCAGCTTAGCTTAGCATTCCCACCACCTGAAACAAATTGGCCATTCAGTCTGTTAATAGTAAGCTTCTTACGGGTCCATCTTTTTCTCTCCACATCAAATCCTCAGGTTATGTTATTGTCCCCCCCAAAAAACTAGTTTCTACCTTGGAGGCTGAGATCATTCTAACAACAATAATGACAGGCCAGAATTTCATTAGAGGCAGTTTCCTCGTTAGTTTCCCTTGTAATCAGCCTCCAGAAACTGTTGAAAAAGTTAATAAGATGTGAAACCATAATCTTTTCTTTTTCTTTTTTTTTTTACACAGTGAAACAGGCAACATCCGAACGCTGGTTTTCCCAGTAATGTATATAAATGAGGTAAATTTTGTTATTTATTTGCAATAATTTCATTTTATGCCTACAAAAACATTGTCTTTGAGCTGACCAAAAATACATCTATTTCCAGTTTTTCTTGGTGTTTCATGCAGTTAAAGATGGGAAGCTGTTGTGGGCAGACTGTTAGGCAGAATCCTGCAGAACACCCTCTGTCACATAGTCCTTGTAATTTTAAAGACCCTGACCATGGGCAAAAGGGCTCCTTAGAGGATCTGGGAGCTCACAGGATCAGGCTTTCTGTTGAGCAGATTTTTGTTTGCACTGCAGTTGTATCACTGAATTCATCAGTGATTCATTTGGTGAACCATATTATTCTTCCAGACCTATGTTGTTATGATCTTAAACTGAGCATTCAGAATCGCTGCAGACAAGGTATTCCCCTGACCACACAGGAGCCGGAAGAATTCTGGTCAGAGAAGGACTACCAAAAAGTAATAAAGCCCAGGCAGGGAGCTGAGGGAGTGTTGTTTCCCTGCTCTTCACAGCAATAAAATGCCTTACTACACACAAGAATAGAAATAAATCTTTTTTTCTGCGTTAATCCCCCTGTACTCCAGAGTGTGCTGATCGATGAAACATCTGCCAACAAACTCAAGCATGTCCTGCTGGAAGCCAGTGTTGTAACTGGAATCCCCTTCGTAATCATGGCTCTAGGAATTGTTTTCGGGATTGTTTTTATTGTGCTTGTGTGCAGATCCCGTGGCATAAGCGAAGAGGTAAGTAGCATTTGAACTTGTCCTTGTTTAGTCTGTGTTTGCATAGATTTGATTTTTATTTTGGTTGGGTTTACTTTTTCTGTATTCACAAACTTTTTTTTTTTAATATGTTATTTTTGTTTAAAATGGCCTCTCTAGGGAAGGGAAGTTTTAATAGACTCAGAATAAGTGCACCAAACAAAGGATTACAGCTAATACAAGAAACACGGTAAGGCAGGTAGTATTTCCAGTGCCTAATTTCCTTACCAATTGTAGTTTTAAAAAAAAAAAAAAAAAAAAAAAACAGCCTGTCTAGAGTGTCCTAACAGATAAAATGCAAGAAGTCCACCAGCCATGTTAAAGCTGATGCTAAACCCCTGCCATATAGGCAAGGCAGAGGAGCTGAGGTTAGATGAGTTTTGGACCCTTTGTTGAGAGAAATGGACTGGGATCTCTAGCAGGCTGTTTCCTCCCCATAGCTGCCCTGTTTTAGTGTGGTTTTGCTTGTACGGTGTTTGCTGAGTGTACCCTCGCAGCTGCCCAAAGCCCCTCACGCTCCGAGCGTCCGGCCAAGCTGTTCACATGCTTTGTCTTAGCCTGCGAGAGCCCGCGCGGGTTCAGTGTGCTGTGGCAGTGGCAGCAGCGGTGGCAGTTTGATGCCCTCCTGCAGCCTGATGTCCTCAAGCAGTGGCTTGAGGAACTGGATCTTTGGATCTCGCAGCTTCACTCTTGCGTTTTGCTCTGCTACTGAGGAAGCTTTCCCTGAGCAGTTGTGCTCTGGACCGTCGTTCAGATCCTGATCATTTTTCCTGGGCCCTTTTGAGTCTGCCTGTGGTCCTAGCAGGCTCAGACACAGGGTTTCCACTGCCTGAGGCCTCTGTATGAGATATTCCTGGCCCCGTATGTGTATCTTGATACCACCTCTCTTGGATGTTCTTGAACACTGCCCAGTAACTAAAAGAACTTTCATGCTTTTTCTACATTGGTTTTGTTGTCTTCCCCTTTTTTCAGAGCACTGAAGATGAAAGGGCTCCGCTCATCAGGCCATCCTAGTAGATTTTCCGTAACACGTGAGCTTGGAGAATAAACTTAGAGCTGACCTAATACCAACTACCACTACCCAGCGTTGTCCACTGTGGAGGAACGATCGTGTCAAGCAAAAATTCTCGTGGTATAGAAGAGAATCTGGAAAATGGTCAAAGGAGGAGACTTTTCTTACCAGCTAAGTTATAACTTAAAAACTATGTTTTAAAACTGCTCAAGATCCTGCTTTTTTTCAACTCTGCACTGTATTTGTACCTGCACTGACAGCCGTAGACGACCATAACCACTATATCAGTGAAAATAAAATGCCCTGGTTGATTGTAAGAATGACGCGGGTAAACTTTGCAAATGACCTTAGGAGTGCGGGCTGCGGAGTACCCTTTGGCAGGGTACTGAAGGCTACGGTACCACAGGCTCCTGTGTCACCCAGGAACACTTGAAAAAATTGCTGTAAGCCAAGTGTTGTCTTCTCATGTAGAGATCTACAGGCTTCTCAGTACCAGCGTGTTCTGACTGTTAAATCCTTTCACAAGACTGAGTTGTAAAGCTAATCCAAAAGGTTCACTGAAACTTAGTCAAATTTACCTAGCTATTGTGGCGGGGAGGGGAAAGCTGGCAATGATTTCAGTTGTTTTCCTTTTCACCTCTTACCTGTTGTAACTGTGCACAGGATCCCACTGCATGTTAGTGACACATTTATCCCCAAGTTGTTTTTTTTTCTTCAACTTACAGAACAAAACGCAGCCTTGTTCTTGGTGGTGGAGGGAACAAAATGGTGTTCTTGTTTTCTTTGATACCTATGTCACATTTTCAACTGTGTGGTTTAATGTGAATGAAGACTTGGCAGTTACATTTATTGTTTAGGATGCAAGCAGACTTCCATATTAAGGTATGTGTATGGCCTGGAAATGCCAAAGCATTTTTTAACTTTTAATTTTTAAAAACAAAAGTGTTTTTCCCCAGTGAAAAAAGTATTGTCATTGAGAATTATTTCTATTAGATTAAGATAGTGAATCAAATTTTAAAATGTATTATTTTCTTCAAAACAGAGGCAGTTTTGGTTAGTCTTTTTGCTTAGCTGGCCAGTGGCTCAGCAGCGTTGTTCACCTGGAGGCAGTTTCATGGTGATTACAGGTATTTATTTTCCGTGTTGTTGAAAAGCACCAGCCACAGCCTGAGGCTCTCACAGTACTGCAGTTCTGGTCCTGTCTGCTCCATGCAAGGGGCAGAATGCCAGAGCTTAATAAATCCATATTTTGAGAGAATCTGTCTTGCAGGAAAAGTCCAGGGGATTTTTTTTTTCGCTAGTTACCTGACACGGAGTTCCCCTGGGAGAGCTTGCCCTCAAATTATGGTGTCAGGAAGAGGGCAGGGGAAAAAATGAACCCAACATGAGGCAACTCCCCCTGCTAAGGTAATGGTCCTTGTCAGCCAGACATCGTGCGGGTATGCAGAGACACCAGGCTGTGCGGCTACCCTGAGGAGCCCAGCAGAGCCATGGAGTGAGGATTTCCTTCCTGAGTCTGGGTGCCCTGACTTTCAGCGGGACCCCACTTTCAGTCTTAATTTTTGTCTTAATAATTAAGAAACAAGCTTATTTCTAGAGCTGCCTTCTGCACCGCCGGCGCTTTGGCCAACGTGGCTTCTGTCACCTCTGAGGCAGATGGTGGTGACTTCAGGCCCGGGGCAGGTCTCGAGGACAAGGGAGCAAGACAGAGCCTGACATAGGACTAAAGAGGTGCCATCCCCATTCCTGGGGCTTCTTCCTGAGCCACTGTAACCTGTAACAGCGGACAAAGACTTAGCCCCTCACAGCAAAATGTGTAAATGTATTTGGGAAATGGTTACAGAATTTTAGACAGAAGCAAGCCTGCTGCTTTGGCTGGTACTTTACTTCCTTTGGAGTTTATTAAACCAATATGTTGCCCTGCGCTGCCTTGTAGCAGAATCTTGCCCCTTCTTTGTAGAAGACGCCAGCTGTCCGGGGCAACAGCTCCCTCGCTGCGGTAGGGATGGCGGTGGTTGGGTGTCCACGCTGGGGGGACGGTTATCACCCAGGGTTTACAGCACTGCTTGTGTGTGACCGGTGCTCTGTACCACACCGGGCTCCCTTTTGTTCTCTGCTCTGTGTAAGCAAAACACTAAACCTTGTATTTTTCTCCCCTGGGCACGCTGTGTGTGTGATGACTGCTACCAACACTCCCGAGGGAGGGTCGCTGATGCGGCCGCCCCGGCGGCAGCTGCGTGGGGACCCGACTCCCAGCGCGCAGCCGAGGGCGGCCGGGGCCCGGCGCCGCGGCGCTAATAACGGGGCA